CTTGGATCCCTCTTTTACAGTTATTTGGCTTTCATACAACCAGAACCAGCCAGTGGAAAGACAGATACAGACAGGGAGATGCTGAGGTCCAGCAGATGGGCAACTCAGCTGTTTTGGAGCCCATTCACTGCTTATTTCTTCCAGGCAGCACAGCAAAAGCATAAAGGGCACTGCCACTAACACAGTTAATATCTTCAGAGGAGGCAAACCCTCCAAGCAGAGGAAGGGACACCAGGCTCGTGGCACAGTGTGCTTTTGGACCTGCACATGTGGATGTTGTACAAGGGAACGCCAGGCCCCTGAACAGAAATGTAAGGTGATCCTGAGAGAGCCATCATGGGCAGCAGACAAACACCAAGATGGTTTGGGCTGTTAGGGAAAGGGCTTCAACACTGTCAGCTGCTGAAGGCCAGGAGAGAAGAGGCAGTTTTGATGCAGCCTGGAGGAGGATGGTCCTACTTTCAATGGAAGTATTTCACAAATACTTCTTTCCTCTTTTCTCTGAATGTTATCTTTGGGTAATTTAGAGTACATTAATGATGTCTGTAATCCCTTTTTGACAGCACCTCTCTTTCCGTTCACATCCAATAAACAACAGCATCCCCAAAAAGAAGAAACAGATGTGCAATCTAAAACACTTGTAAAGTTTCTACTGAGAACACACGAGTTTTAACTTGGCCAGGCCCTGACAGAAGCACAGCTGTGCTACTGCACCAGTCTGATGTGGATCCCCCCCAAACCACCATAAAAGCTTTCACATGTAACAGAGACCCTATGAAGCACCAAGGCAGGACAATTTTGTTTCTTCTCTTCTTTTGTTAGTGGGGCACTAGCCATGACCAGGATAAACTGCACTGCTGTAATGACAATTTTCATCTTTCTTGCTATTACAACCATGGGAACAGAAGGCAGGCAGATCTCTAGAAATGTCCACTGTAACTGTTCCTGTTTAGTGCCACTTCAGCAGGCACAGGTGACTGACTCAGACAACATCTGTGAAATGCTGACCCCAGGAGAATCATTGGTAAAAAAACATAAGAGCCACCATTAGTCTTCCTCAGAACAGAACAAGAATACCAATGAAGTTTTATCATTTTATTTATCTCAGTGAAGTTCTCTTAAAACTTATTACAATATAATATTAACAGAGGAAAGTATCTAAACAGTATTTTTAAAACAAGGTAATATTTCAAAACAGAAAATTTTTTTAAAAGCACCACTAGAAAATAGTACTGTTTTCACAGTGTACTGCAATCTGCAGAGACCACAGAACAGAGGAATATCCACAATATTAAAATAGACTTCACATATTCTTCCCAGTTTTGACTTGACAGAAAGCATAAAAAATTTGCATAGGTAATAAATATATTCAGGTAAAACCTTTAAACTTGCAAAATGTTTCCCAATACAAATCAATGCAGGTTTTGTAAGCCAAATCTTTTTTTCTTTCGTATAAGTAGCACTATAGAATCTAAATTCTTTTCCTCCTGTAATGGTCAAGTTTTCTATAACAAGTTGTCCATTATCTTCATAACACAGTGAAATAACCACCTGCTTTCCTGTATGTATTAACTTAAACTAATTCTGTACAGGTAGAATCTACCAGCCTCATACTTACTCTGTTACTTTGTGACTCCTTCCTTTAGAAACACTCTCTGGCAGAAAAGATTGAAGAGCCTGTCTCCAGCTATTTTAACTATATTCATGAAAGTGGCATCAAAAGATGCAAAATAAAAGTTTTTAAATGAATTCCGTACTCCACAATATTATATTGTACTATTAATAGAAAAAATATGGAAAAAATAATAAAAAAGTTCTAAATTTGTCAATATAATTAATAAGATACCTGTCAATAAAACATGCAGTTTATTACAGCAAATGGGATAAGTGCCATAAGATTAGCATTCATTGAGCATCGATTCTTCTTGAACTCTATCTTATTCAGGACATAGTGCACCACTTAATGTTGCATGGTATGAGGCAATATATATAATTTTCACAGATGCAAAGGCTATATACTATGCCATTAATTAGGCTATCATAAATCTATACTGATTCCAACATACTAAAATTCTTGTTGCTATAACCAAGGTCAGTGAGTGCCCTCAACGACAGATCCAGGCTTTTCTTTTTTTGAAAGGGAGAGATTCAAAAGAGGCTCAATGATCAGTCTTCTCTTGCTTGAAATAAAGCTAATCTTGCTGTAAATTGCAACCAATAATACATATGGGATAAGACTTTTTTTCCACTCTCTGAGTGCCTTATCTCAGATGACATGAGTAAAACATTACTAGATGCATTACCACTACCAGATGGATGCCAACTACTATGTTTCTGCCACTGTGCATCTAAAAACTTACTCTGAATTTAAGAGAAATTATGGGCACTCCCCACAGAATCGTCCAAAAAGTTTTACTACATTGAAGAATCTATTCTCTGGAACTTCTCTCAGTTGTAATAATGTAATAACTTGTAATGTAATAACTTGTACCTTCCTTATACCTTCAGTATCCTTTAATAATAGTGCATTTAAACGCAAGTACCACCAGCATGCATAACACAGGACTGCAGCATCATTCCCTTCCCTGTTTAACTCCACTGATCTCACAATCTCCCTCAAATAAAGCATATTCGTACAAATCATGCAATTTGATTTTCTACATGCCACATATAGACAAATGTTATTTCTATTCAAGTAACATCTGCACTTTGCTAAAGATGCACCAGGTTATTTCTAACACCAGATTCTGATCTCTGCTACACAGGTTTAAATACAGAAAGTCTTAAGTCTGTCATTCTGGTGAGTGACAATCTTCAACAGAACTGCACAGCACAAACCAGCAAAGGATAATGAGGGGCTCTGTTTGTGAGGAAGTGGCTTTCTTAACTTCTTCTAGAACAAAAACATAAGCCTATAATTTCTACCCTTCTCTAACATTGTCTCTCCCTCAACTCTTACCATAAAAATACTCAGGTGTGCTCTCTGTAGAGCTTCTCCTACATCACATACACCCTAGTACAGAAAGAAGAATGGGTGTGTCAGAAGAACTTTTACTCCTGTGCCATTTAATCTTTGTTCAGTCTCAGCAGACTCCAAGAGTGAAGTTCCCAGAAAAACTGCTCTGCTCTCAGGTAACACAGCTCTTCTGCACACAACAGATACAGATGCTTTTCATTCCAGAAGTCCTTCTCTACCACTACAAAATGCCCTCTGTAATGATAACAGTATTGTGCAAATGTTGAATACCTTCAATAGTAGTTTTAATTCATCCCTCCTCATGACCTTGCAAGAATGAATGAGAGGCAGGCTACACACAGGCACTAAGATCTCTGTCACTGACAGACTTTGGGGACACCAGGATTACTGGTTTGTGTACATACACTGGCTGCCACACAGTGCCCAGTGAGGTGTCCTCTGACAGGCTGCTTAGATTTTGCAGCTGAAAGCAAGAAAAACTACTGTTCTCCATTTGGAGGAGGAGAGCAGTTTGTCAAAAGCCTGAATCCTTGAGCATTCTTGAAGAAAACAACGGTGATGGAAAGATAACTTCAGATGTTAAGGACACAGTTATAATGTCACAAGTTAAATCAATGACCAGATGGAAGTCTTGCACTTGGGTTCATTCTATTACAGAAAATTATAGGAGGCCATTATACAGCAGAAACAGTGTAACAAATGCCAAAACAGATTAAAACACAGTAATGTACATATATTTTAGCTATACATACTCAGGCAAACACATGAAAGTTATATAGTGCATAATATTTCTTTTCAGTAGGGTTAATTTAAGGCAGCCTGCAAGTGCATTGGTAACATCCCTCTTCTGTAGTTACATCTGTGACACAAACATGTATCCTTTTGTAGGAATGCTGAAAGGAAGCTGGAAAGAGATGTGAAAAGGTACATCATTTACTCCTAACAAAAAGAAATGAGAAAGGAGATTGAAAAAGCATTTGTAGAGGAGAGAGAAAATGGGATAAAACAGTCTATATAGTGTAGAAAAAGAAAGAATTCATTTGATGGAAGAGCTGGAAGAAGATAAAAATTAGTGTCAATGAATACACCATTTTGTTTAATTAACTGACTGATTTGATTAAAAACAAAAAAAAAAGCCTTTTAAATGTAAGTACCTGTTTGGCAAAATAAACAGACTTGTGAATAATGGGAAATTTTGATCAGAAAAATATTTTGCTGTTCAAAAATAATGGAATAAAAATTTGCTTAATTTTCAGAAGTCTAATTTTTAGGACATTCTTTTAATACTTGTTTCTTTTTACCTATGTGCTCTTCCTTGTTGGAAGAGACTTCCTTCCTTCTCATTCTGCAACCTTTCACTGGCAAAACTAAAAACAGAGAAAAGCCTTCCTAATTTACTTAAATGCAGATTACTTCCAAATGAAATTAGAGCAGTCATGAGTTCCACTGTTTTTATTGTAAAAATAATATTCTATTTTTGACCCAGTCCCTTTCCACAATATTAAGCATCTATACTCCAGTGTTGCCACATTATCACCTATTTGAGGCATGTTCTCTCAATTTATGGAAATCACAACATTTTGTAAGATGTAGACAAATTAGCCCCAAAGTACGTTTAGTCTTTTTATTTGCCTGTTGCACAAAACAAATTAAAGCAGGTTTCAACTATTTGACTGTGCTGCTTTCAGTTACAGTACTAAATGCTATTTACCCTGCAATTTTTTTGTGGTTCAGAAATAACCAATTTTAAGAGGAGATTTTATTAAAATAAGGGAATTTGATCTGAATTCCACATTCCCCTGTCTGAAGATGGTAACAGAATTAAAATCTTGACTGAAAGCTCTTGTTTTCTTTAAATAGTGATCATTCAGTTAAGATTACATTTAAATATTCCTAAAATTGAGAGCATTTTGTGGGATGACCTGCTCAAGTCAGCACAGGATAGTGTCAAATATATATAGAATCAGAGTAGAACCATATACAATTGAAACCCCAATTCCATGCAAACTTCACTGGGCAGAAATTAAGATGAAATCCATAAAATAGATATACTGGTTCCATGTTCATGAGTGATCTGGTTGATCCTTCCACGCACACAGTCAAGAGAAATTGATATCAATGTTCCATTATGCACTTCAAAAGACGCACGGAGGGACACACTGGTCCATATGCTGCCCTCTGGCATCTGACCTCCAATCTGCTGAGCAACTGCTGTGGGTTGCATGTGATCCATGGTCAACTGATTGAGAGTCACTTTGAGCACATTGCACGAATGGATTAGCTTTAAGTTAAATGCAATGCTGGCAACTCCCTTTTCAGTAAAAATGAAATACTTCTGAGCAAGCTGTCCAGAAGAAACCAGCTGTATCTGTTTCTCATTGGATGAGACCTGGGTGAAATCCAGTAGTTTGTTTCTCACTGCTCCAGTAGGCAGACCTGTAACAGAAACTGTGGCTGATATAGCACTAGAAACCCCTGAAGGGATCCAGATGAGGCTGAACATACTAATTCCAGAACTATCTCCAAAATACCGAACATTACACTGTGCAGGAGAAAGTATCTCAAAGCTAACCAGGTCTCCAGCACCAACCTTTGTGGCCCCAGAAGCAGATATAGATGTGTCCCTGTAATTTACCCCAGATTTAAATACATTCATTAATTCTCTGTTGGTACCATTCCTATTGATATAAGAAATTAAGGAGAAGCCCTCCCGGACACACGTATGACCCATGGAATACAATGCTTGATGAAACACAAATTTGACAACACCAGTTTCAGTGAACTTTATAGCTCTACCATCATGAGATAAACTTAGCATATAAGGGTCAGAAACAGAAATTATTTTAAAGGTAGGTCGATAGTTGGTTTGGTAATGCATGGCTGTTGACATCTGTGCACTGAGTGCCACAGCACCTGTGTCGTGGGACAACCAAAACAAACTGAGTGGGGTATTAAGATCATAAATATTTAAGTCTTTGCTTTGATTACAGAATTGATTAGGGCTCCTCAAATACACAGAAAGAGTTTGGCTGGGCTCCACTTCAGCAGCACTGCTTAAACTAGTGCTCTGGAAATACTTTCCTTCTGGCTGCTCGATCCGAACACCACTCAGTTCATAGTCTTCCTCGCTGCCATTAAGCTTTAAGGAAAGCTGCAAAAAGTTCCTGCAGTTGTGCTTTACTGCAAAATTTAGGTCAGTCCACAACAGACCATGTTGTCTGAATACCAGGCTGTTCTCTTCAGTGGACAGGATATCACAGGGAAGCTTCCCTTTTATCTTCAAGTTCAAGCCAGAGTAGACCTGAGAGATGCCAGACTTTACAGAGGGTAGAACGATGTTTGCGGCCCAAGACTCCGAGAGTTTGTTTTCACTGGCTGCTGAACAAACCGTGTCACTGACAGTGGAACAAGGGACAGCCACCATTCCATCTTCACACTTTAAACATGCTTGGCATTCCTGCATTTCCTTATTAAAGAAATACTCCTCTCCACACATTCCCAAAGCTGCATCCTTCTCAGCAATTCCAAGGCATCGGAAACCACCTGTTCATAGGAAATGGACTCTTTTTATTGTCATACCTTTAAAATACTAACAATAAGAACTCTACAGCTCCACATATCAAGTATCTTTGATATATACCTAATCATAAGTGAGAAAACATCTATGATGTTAGATCACTTTATGCTATTAAAGGAACCTTGATAGATTTCAGAGGAAATATTAGGCATAACTCACCTTGTCCAAGCAAAGCACAATGGTTAGGAGTGAAAAAGAAGCTACATGAGGGCAACTCTAACCAAAATCTGTAATCTATCAGATACAATGATATTGCTCCTTCTCTGATGTAAAAGGCATGGTGACTGGTACACTGAGCAGCTCCTTTCAGCTAATGGAGAGTTCCCCTCCACAGGGAGAAATGTGCACTGCCTGCCCAGCCATGCTACAGGGCAGCCCTGCTGTCACTGTGATTGCTAAAGCAGTGCTTTGCAACCCAAGGGACAAGGACCCCTGGCACTTACTCCGTATGCTGTTTTTTAAAAACCTGCAAGGGACAAATAGAAAAATCAAAACTGTAAACAGGAGGCTTAAAATCATTATGCAGTAGACCATGCATTTAAAAAGTGGAAAACCACTGCCCTATGACACAGGACACCAGTGGCTGTGATCAAGCTAAATTAAAGCACTGCTGCAAACAGTGAGGAGAATATACATGTGCTGTTTGAAATGACTTTGTTTGACATAAAGCAATTTTGTGCTGTTAAATGGTACACCATGACCTCAGTGGATCAAAGAATGTACACCAAAAAAACAGGTTTTAAAAACAGCCTGTAATTTTCTGTGGCAACTTTCCAAGAGCCCCACCAGCTGCCAGTGCTTCCACCTGGAGCAACCAGAACCCAAAACCTTTGTACATGGAGATTTCAGGATTTGAATCAACAGACAAGATCTGAGGCATCCTAAAGAATAACCACCTGCAGTTTGTGCCTCAAAACTTAATCACTAATGCAGTCATTTATGCTTTTTTACCACCATGATCAAAACTCAATAATCATCTTTCTAATAGAACTTCTTAAATATCCTTTCATATCTAGATCCTATGTCATACACTTGCATTATTCTTTAGGTGGAAACTTCCTGTACCTTGGCTGGATTTGCTCTAAGACTGGGACAAGCACTTGCATGGATCCCAACAGTGGATTCTCCCTTGCTAGCCCAGGGTGTGGCTGGCTATGCTAACCCCCGATGCAGACAGAAAAGCTCACCACACTTGCTGCAAACTGCAAGTACACACAAACCTGGCCCTCAGGGGAGGTCAGAATGTTGGCTAGAATTCACTTCTGATACTGCATTATTCAGCAGAGAACACCAGACACTGTGTTAATTTATACAGGCTTCATATATTCACCTTCCTATCACTTTGTCTATTTATACTTCATTTACTTAAGTGATGATCCTCCATCAACATCGATATGTAGGACTCTACAATTTATGATGTGAGAATATTCCTTCTAAGATCAGGTACCATTTTATCAAGAGTTCACTGCAAAACAGTAAGATTTTTTCCATCTGAAAAAAAGTCAAGAGAAACTTAACACTTTGTTCCTCTCTGAAAGTGTCTTGATTTTTTATGAGAAACGAAAGCCAAATAAATAAGATTACATTTTTTTCAACCAAAAACATTCTAGAGGGAGTACAGAGAAAAGTCCCAGATAATCTTTCCCTTTGAAATCAGTTCTAACCATGATGTATCTACTCACATGACATTTCTTAACCACTTCTGCTTCTCATATCACTAGCTCCACCATCACTGAGAAATACTGGGTGAACTAAGTACACACATACAGCCGGTTCACACAGCAGAGAAAATCGTCAGTGGTGCCTAGGAGCACTTTTTATGCTTTTTGTTTCTACAAACATTTTAGTGTATATTTGAGTGCTTACTAATATCATGTTTCACAAATACTTGTGATGGCTATATGCACTAATTTACTTGTCTAGTCCTTTATTGGTTAGAACTGCAGCAGGTGTTCCCCCTGGGTTTACTCAAACAGGTGACTTCAAAGCAGCACACAGACTGCTCCTTGCTGCAGCCACAGCTGCAAAAGTAGCACCCTTCCCTTTGCCCAGAAGGGGCCCAGCAGCAAATGATAGCCAACCATCAGAAACCACCACAGCAGCATGCTGGGACTGCTTGCTACTGCTCCTTACCACTTTACAGCCTCTGCCACCTCTTCCTGGCTCCTTACTCTGAGCACTGCTGCACCTGGTTTCACAGTGAGCAGCACAGCTGTCCTCAACCTGGCTTTGTGAAATTGAGTCTTTCTGCAGCACATTCCCCAGCCCTTGCCACTCACAGAGGCCAGGTAATTGCAAGGCAATTACAGTAAGCTACACATGTATTTTTCTGCTGCTACTACTCACAACTGCCTGACACAAAGGTTACATTTGGGCAGATTAAGTATGGGAATCCTTCTCTTTTTAAACATTCTATGTCAAATTTGGATCATCACATATCAATATGGTTCATTACAAATCAGGACTATCTGTCAAGGTTTTCATTCCTCTTCCCCCTGCATCCCACAGGAAGTCCTTTATTTTGCATAGCTTTCCAGGGAGAGTGCCTTTGGTTGATTCTATTTGTTTGATAAACAATCTGACTACTCTCCCATGGTTGTCTAAGAAGGAAATTATGTACCAAACCCTATTTTCACTGATTACATACCCTTAATTATCACTGAATGACTAATGACTTAATGACTAGCCTTTAATCAAATAAATCAACAATTCTCATCCCATATAGAAGTGAAAAAAGCAGCAGAGGAAGAAGGTATGATGTAGAGGAAAGTGAAAGAGTGAAGAAAGAGAGGCTCCTAGTTACATGATTCTTTACTGTTATTTGCTCTGTCTCCCCTCACACTGCACATTGAACAAGAGTTGCTACAGATGCTACAACCTTTGCGTGCAGCTTGAGAAACCACATGCAACATCTGGAACTCATATGTCACATCACATCCTCTTCTTCCCTTCTTTACCCAAAACAGACATTCCATTTCAGCCTTTCTTTTGACACGTCAATTGCACTTGGAAAGATAATGAGCTACCATGAACAGAGAGGCTGAAAGTCACCTCTAACAAAAAATAACAGGAACACTCTCTCTTCCATGACAGATGAGAACAACATTGACAAGACATTGATTCCTGTGCAGGTGATGGGTAATAACTTGCTTTCTACACACCACTATTAAAACTGGGAGAAGAGGAAGAGAGGGAAGATTCCTTTTCTTCCAAATACATTGCTACTGCCTTTCTGTGGTCTGACACACCATCACTACCCATCTGTTTCTTGGCAGTGTTCTGCCCTCACTTACGATCCTCCGGCAGTTGTACAGACCCTTTTTTGGTCTGGTTCCCCTCCACGGAACCCACTGAATAAATTAATTACAGCCTTCCTTTTCCAAGCCACAGACTAGAGCAACACCAAATTACTACCACATTGGTGGCTCTCCTTTCCTAGGGCTGAGGCCTTGTGGGCTTCCAACCAACAAAACACAAACAGGAGCCAACACAATGTCTCATTAAAGACAAGGCAAAGCCTTACACCTTTCCGATGCTCTGGCTCAAATTTTGTGCTCTAAACTGTCTTGCCTCCAACTGTCCATCTCTAAGACTCTCCAAAAATGCCTTCCCTCTTCTTTTGTAAGACTGATGGTACCTCGTGTGCAGCATTTACCACACAAGGCAACACTAAGTGCCCTCTTCCTCAAGTTATTTCCAGTTTACTGCAGTGTTTGTAGTAACTCCATCCAACGCAACACAGCTCCTGTCCAGAGCAAGTAAGGGCAAAGTAAGAAAACCCACATGTTCTTTTAATCCTTTCCTAGGCTCCCATATTGTTCTCCACCAGTGACTGGGTAAAAAAGGCACAAAATCATTCACAATCAGCTGAAAACAGCCCTTGCCCCTCAAAAGAGGCCACTCCTTCTTACAAGTCTAGAAGCCTAGAGGAGGAAAACCATAGCATCTAATGAAGGCCTTCCTGGGCTGTTTGACTGTGAGACCTCACGTACAGGTCACAACTGGTGAAATGCTCTGCTTGATCACACAGTTCCTTTCAAGGTTTTTTGGATGACCAAAAATTAAGCCATGAGAATGTAATAAAATAATGAAGTCTGCAGTGCAAAACACCAGGGAGATTTGCTCTTAAATGTCTGAAAAAGTCTCCCAAAGCATCCCAAAATGATGGAAACTGTTGATCTTTCCTCAGTATTTGACAATATTGTTGCTAAGGAGAATAATATTAATGGAGGGAGGTCTTATAAGAGTCTTCATTGGATCAAATCAGAAGGAAAATGACAACTATTTTTCTCCAACAGGAACGATGTCTTTGATTTGGGCCCTATTTGCACCAGCATAAACAAGAAGAAAGTCTGGTCATAAGAGAAAATAAAAAACAAAGCATATAAACCCCCATGAAAATAAGGGGATATAAACCCCCATGAAAATAAAGGGACCATCCAATGCCTCTAAGGGATATTAATGTCCTAAATAGCTCATTGTCCACAAGAGCTGCTATCAACTTACAGATTAGTGGTTTTTAAACCCAGCAAGCTGTGCATGTCACTACTCACTAACATACAAGCCTGAGTCCTTATCTATTTTTGTGGCCTGTTCCTGATGATCTAATTATTCTCATTCTCTAATTATCAGAGAATATAACTTACCTGGAGTATTGAGGCATTTTATCCTCTCACCACAAATGCCTGGAGATTCAGTGCACTCATCTCTGTCCTGTAAATCACAAGAATCATACTGAAACAGTTTAACATGACAACTTAAATTTGAAACAGGCATTTCAGGCTGTGACATCCCTCCGTCCATGAAAGGTGTATGTAGGGCTGGAGAACAGGTTGATCCCGTAAGCATGTTAGAGCAGGACAATTTTGATTTAGATTTGTTCCTTGTTTTAACCAGGCATCCAAAACCACTGTGTGATGCCATAGAAAGCAAGCAGTGTGCAGATGAGCTGAACAGAGGGGTTGCACATGTAACACTCATTATGATGCACATCCCCAAGAGGGGGCATCAATCAATTCATCTTAAGGACATTGCAACAATTGAGACAGTGTTAGGAAAGGCTTTTAAGGACATTTAATCTGATAGGAAGCTGCTAACCAAAACACACATGAAAAGTAAATTAGAAAGTAATATTCCCTGTCAACAAACTCTCGTTTCACTTTACAGCAGGCAGAGGGGAAAGAAAAACAGCCTACATTTGCCTTTAAATGCTAGCTTTAAAGAAAATTGAGGTTAGCAGAGAGGGAACTGGACAGACACATTCAGGTTCTCAGTATTTGGTCCAGCTGGTCAGGCTCACGCTAAGCTAAGAACCGGAGCAACCCTTAGCAAACAAAATACTGCTTTAAATATCAAGTTACCCATATATCTTAGGACTTCTAAAGGACAGAAAGCAAACAAAGAACAATCTTATTTTGCTTGCATGTGTAGTTTTGTGTTGTATAATAAAATGTATTTTACAATAAAATGTATTTAACAATACAAGTATCCATGTTCTATATTTGTGTATGTTATTATATTTTGTATGTTTGTTTGTATGTTATGTTTAAGAAGGAGCTAGCTCTTACATTTGTTTTAACATTCTGTTTCCAAACTTTGAAAGAAATGTCTGACTTATGCTTAATAAAGCTTTCCTGCACTTTCAGAGATGTCTAGAAGCTCCTGTAGACTGTAATGGAATTAAATAAACAAATTTAGCATGTGTAAGTCTAAATGTCTTAGGATGTCTTTTCCTACCATGACGAAAAGACTCAAAGTCCTGCCAGCTGTCAGGTTTGGGAAAGTGTCACACCCAACAGGTACAAACCAATGCCTCATTTAGAAGACTAAACGTTAAAGAGAAACACACAAAAAAACCTTCTGGCATAGACCTATTCAGTAAAACATGGTTCAAACTGGATTTCTCTAGCTCTCCAAGTAGTTATTTCCAGAATGTTATCCCGATATGTCCAACACAATACTTCATAAGCAATAACTGAAAGATACAGAATTATGTTTCACCTGGCAAATCCGATCAGAGTTTGCAGAACACTCAGCCATTTGGAAAAAACCAGCAGGACACAATGTGCACTTTTCACAATGTGAAGGCGTCTTTTGGAAATTGCAAAATTCATCACTTTCACAAAGGCCACAGTCCAGCAAAGACTCCCCAACATTAATCACTTTTGCATCCACTTCTACTTTGTGCACAGAGTATGACTTCTGGAGATGATTTCTGACCTGGTTCTGAAGTCCATGAAGATGACTTTCAAAATAATTTTGAATATCTTCTTGCAAACTCTGAAATGACATTTGTTTCACTGTATCAAAAAGCATTCCATACTGGACTTTGATCAGATCCATTTGCTCATACATTTTTCTTTGCTGTTCAAGAATCTCCTGTTGCTGGCTAACCAACACATGCTGCTGTTCAGCAAGTTTTTGCTGCAAATCAACAATGATCTGCTGTTGGCTTTTCAGCATTTCAGTGAATTTCTCGTGCCCTTTTGCAAGGTGCAGCTGTAGTATTAGGGCATCTTCAGATGGAACTTCATTTTCTCCTGAAATACAAATGATTTATTATTGTCCAAGCTTGTTGTATTGTCTCTTCAAAGGCATACACAGTTTAGCAAATTAATGAAAAGTCTCACTAAATTCAAGTCATCATTATAAGGTGAGTTTCCTTCACTATCTTTGTAGCCCCTTCATGGAACCACAAGGTTTTCCATTTCATAAGCAGCTTATGAAATCATCATTTGCCCCTGCTTCAGGGTATAAATTAATCACCGCATCAATAACAGATTAATCATTCCTATGTACATGTTCAAACACAGTAAAGAGTAAATGGCCAATTTTCACTGTAGAAGTGATAAAATGAAGTGATAAAACTTGTGGCGAATACTGAGCTATTAAGGGTAGTAAAAGTAAGGGTCAATTGCAAAGAGCTGCAAAAGGAGTCTATGATACTGAGCAGCAGCAATAAAATGACAAAAAAAGAAGTTCAGAGGAGATAAAGGTGAATTGAGGTTCTCACTGAAAAAAAAATCCAATTTTTTTTAGATCAAATGTCATACTTATAGATTATTATTACTCCTTGAAAATGGTCTTGAAGTAATATATCTAGATATAGATGTTGGGCTACAGAGCCACGTAATCATCAGTTCAATGCCCAACAGAGTTCAGAAAGGCAAATAAAATGCTGGGACTAATTAGAAGAAGAACATAAAACAGAACATAATATATCACTATGACATTACATTAATCAACAGAGCATCTGAATACAGAATGCAGTCCTGGCTCCCCACCTCAAGACGGAGTATAGAAGGAGTCACAAGTTCACAAAAAGGGCAGCAAGGAAAATCTAACATATGATACTGCTGCAATATGAGAAAGTAGGTAAGACTTTTCAGGATCGGAAGAAAAAAAAATAAAGAAACCAAACTGTGCTATATTACAGGTATCCTAGAGCAAGTAAATGTGGAATGACTCTTCTTTCTTCCAATACAAGAATTAAAGGACATTAAATGAAGGCAGCAGTTCCATACACACTAAAACTTCAAAATAAAATCAATCTGGGGCTTAAAGATAGACATTGATCAGATTCAGGAAATCTAAGTAACAAACTGTTGGAGCTGGGAAAATTATCTATGAAAACATTGTGTTGTACTTTCTACAATATCTGCTGCTGGATACTGCCAGAGAGAATCCTCAATCCATATAATCTGTTCTTAAGCAGCACTGATTTTTATTCTTACATGCACAGAACATGAAGGATGACACAATGAACAAAGACCATATCCAGTTCTTGTTTAGAGTCCCCAAAATATTTTGCTGTTTGGTTAGTTTTACTCACAGCATAAGGCACACATTAATTTCTATTTTTCAGCACTAACTTAAATATTAGGGTAGTTTGCAGTATACTGGATTTGAGAAAACAAAAACCAGGATAAGAAAACAAAACCCAGTTTCTGTGCATTCCTTCTTTTGGGATGCCAGTGTTTCATCTGAAGTAAGGCGCACCCACGGTGCTGCTGAGAAATAGCAGGGACAATGGGCTCATCTGATGTGAAATGGGACTGCAAGCCTGCACACCAGCATCTTCACCTGGCCAAAATAAGTGGTGCTTCAGCTGCAGCTGGCAGGAGTCTTCCAGACAGCAGGTCTGTGTAACCCTGCAGACAGGCTGTGCTGGCTGTGACAAGCAGCTGCCTCACGCACATGAGCCTGCAAACACGGACACCACGCTGGGAATCAGCTTGAGTCCCTGGTACTGGCCTGTACCTTGGAGGGCTGGCATCAGGCATGGCCCTCAGCAAGCATCTCAGTAGACTGAACCCCATATGAATGGGGCTTTTTAACAGGCTGAACAACAGTCTACTCGGTTCACCAGAACACAGTTTTTTCCAGCAGGAGATTTTACTGGATTTTACTGGAGCAGGGATATTTTAATTACTGAAGAATCACTGCAAATCTACTCAGGCACCGTCACAAAGCTGGCAGACATAGACTGGGATGGGCCACTCGGTCTCCACCTGTGCATAGGGAATTAATGCAGTAGAAAAATGGCCTTTGGGTCACCTAGGCAGTATATTCTAGCTCTCCTGCTGTCTGAGGAGAGGTCAACAGCAAAGGAACATCCCATTCAGCTGGTATTAGTGATGTGCTGAAGTGGTACCTTGACAGAAATGTTCCTCTAAAAACCCAGAAAGACAGGAACAGTCACTGACCTGTCTCTTGAATCACTGAATAATGGCTTGCAATGGATACACTCTTCATTGGAAGAGTTAATCTTCCAATGAAGATGGACTAACAGCACATCCAGTTCCAATCCCCTGCCAGGGGCAGGGACACCCTGCACTAGACCAGGTTGCTCAAAGCACTATCCAACTTGGCCCTGAATATTTCCAGGAGTGGGGCATCCGTGAACTCTCTGGACAACCTGTTCAGTGCCTCACCACCCTCACAGTAAAGAATTGTTTCCTAATATCTTATCTACACCTACTCGCTTTTAAGTTGGAAGTCCAAATTGTCATGGACATTACACGTGTTTGAGTTGCAGCTCTCCCCAGACTACTGTCAATGCATTTCTCCTGATTAGAGATCTGATTATCACATTATTTGTTCTGTTTGTTTCAGTAGACAAGCCATACTGGAATTGCTATACAAACCATGCTCATTTGCAAGATTTGACTCCAGCTGCCAGTGGGGATTGCTCTGCGCTACTGTAGGAAACCCACTGACCTATGCTTAAAAGAAGGTCTCAGAGAAACACAGAGAATGTCAGAGGCCACAAGCAGAGCAGAACGCTGGATGCTTGCCTATACCCTGACTTGAAGGAAACCAAAGACAGTCAGCATGCCTTAATTTTTGTTCCTGATGCCAAATACATGGAATTTCTGCTAGATCTTGATGAATTCAGTATGCTGCTCTTCCACTCCTAGGAGAGAAAGCTGCCTTATGAAGGTCTGGGTTGGGTCCTGTCTTTGGAATGGGGAAAACATGTATATATGTCCTCTGTCCAGTGTGGACAAAAGCATGTCTACAGCACAACTCATTCACACCAACTGCAGCAGCAGGCATAAGGCGAGAGCAGCACAAGAGGAGAATTTTCGGGGGTGCAGTGGTCCTCATCTAAAAACTCACACAGAACCTTGTGAGTTATCAGAGGTTTGCTTGCTGTGTGCTCCGTGTCGACAGTGCCTTCCATGAGATTACATGGTTTAGTGGGCAGTGTTGCACACTGCTTTCTCTCCAATATATAAGACACTTCTCTTTGCCACAGGAAGACGAATGCACAGGTCCATGATCATCATTGCCCATAAGCCATTCTTGATGCATCCAAGGATTTTGTTAAGGGCAACTTCTAACCACACTTCTCTTCCTCCAAGATTTCACCCAGCATGAGGCCTGCAAAGAGCATAAAATTGAAAGAGCGAACTCTGAGTCTCCAAACATTTTCACCCTCTGACCCTTTAGCTTTAATTCCTCTGACGCACATCAGAGGTGACAAAGGACCCAAGCCTAAGAGCCCAGAGATGAGAGGTGCATGTAACTCACCATGTTAGCTGTAACTGCTGATGGTGTTGGAGACTGGGCAGCACAGACTGACCAGAGACAGCCAAAGAATAAGATAATGTTTGGAGAAAGAGGTTATGCCAAGCTGGATGCTCTTTGTAAGACTTGAATGGAGACACAACATATCTGTTTTCAGCACCATCCAAAAGTATTATGCTTCTCTGTACAAGCAGAATGCTCTTGCTATTTGCTGAGGCTTGTATAACACAGACAAGGACTTTGGTATGGACAAAGAAAATGCAAATATCCTGGGTTCTTTGGAAAAACAGAGACATGGCATTTATGATGAAGGTATGAAGAAGAGTATGCACAGAAGCAGAGAAAAGTGAAATTAACCATACTGACTCGTTTTCTGTCCACCTTTGGTCACAGAGGTTCTCCAAGACATCTGGGAACAGTTTCAGGCAAGATGAAGGTAGACAGTGTCACTGCATTATGACAGGGAAGCTTAAACATCAGTCCTGGGGCTGGAATTACCAAGTACAGAAACTTCCTTTGGAGGAGATGTCACTTCTCTAGGCAGACCTTGGTAACTTTTGGCTTAGCATGTGCTCTGGTGTCTGAAGCAGCCATAGCACTCATTTGTCAAGCAAATGAGTGACTAAGCTTAAATTACCTTCTTCATGCTTTTTCATTAGCTTTTTTAACATCAATGGGAAATAAATCACTCTTCTAATATATTTGCTATCTTTCAGACAAGGCACTAAACCAGAATCTAAACTGTGTTGTGGTTATTAAAGACCTGTTGGTGCTCTTCATGTTGGTAAATCCACAAATCCCTGACCATTAGAGACACCTTCTCCTGACCTACGAGTGTAACCACAGATGTACTGGCTTCCTACATGGATACCAAATTCACCAGAGCTGCGCTGGTCAATGGACAGGCAAGTGTTCTGAACAATGCACTGCAAGAGACACTTTACCATTTTTCCCCCTGGCTATGACAGCGAGACAGGCTGGCACAAATAACATGTTTCTTACCAATGGCACCAGTCTGGGTATGGGACACACTCCGTGGAAATCTTTTGAGATATTGCTATAAATTAAGAATACCAGAAGTACCAGACTGCGAAGAGAGACTTAAACTTGTTTAAAAACTGCACTACAAAAGATTCCGCCACGTTTACTCAGCTCTGGGTCTCCTAAGTGCAAGTGTTTAAGAAGGGGAGATGAAGGGGAGCAGAGAGAGGAGCCACGGCAGTAATTCCTTCACATAGTGTGAAGACCAGCGCTGGATTTTCTTCCTAACTCTCCCAGAACAAGGAGCTCTGGAGCAGTCGCTCAGGTGTCCCTGCATCCGGTCTCTCAGAGCTGCTGAAGCCCCCTGGCCCAGCGGACACCTGCCCGGTGGAGGAGACCCAGCACCTGCGGCTCTCCGTGACCACACCGAGCTCCGCGGGCCGCGGAACCCTGCGTGCCACGGAGGGCGGTGCTGCTGTGGGGTGTGCGTGGCGCCCTCCCGCCCCGGCCCCCTCACGCCGGCCCGCACCTGGCTTGACGTCGCAGGTGAGCTGCACCCCCGGGGCGCCGCCGCCTCGCTCGGCAGCGGCGTGGGCCAACTCGTCCCCCGCGAACTGGGCGGCTCTGTCGCCGGCCTCGCACGGGGGGCCTGGGCAGGGCTCGGCCGAGCCGCCCCCCGCGCCCAGCAGCGAGAGGCAGACGCCGAGCCAGCAGCGCGCCCACCACAGCCGTCTCCCCGGCATCTCCGGCCGCGCCTGCAAGAGAAGAGAGGCCGCGGCGGGTCAGGGCGATGCCCCTCTCCCTCCGCCCTAGCCCGGGGTGCGCAGAGCCGGACAACCCCGCCCCCCACGCCCCTCTCTCCCTCCGTTGTGCAGGTACCGTCACAGCATCCCAAATCCAGAAAAAACTTTTCACCCCGTCCCGTCCCTTCCCGGAGTCTCCCGGCGTAACCTGCGGGACGGTGCAAGTGCGGCCTCGGGCTGTGCTCCTCGGAGCGGCTGCCCGCGGCGGGGACCAACCTCCTCCGAAAGCAGGAGGGAATGGAAATGTGCAACATTCCTGGGGCTTCGTTAGCATCAGATTTCCCAAGCGCCTCCCTTTAACTCCTTCGCTGCCCCAGCCCCTGCCGGCTGCCCGGGGCGGCCGTGGGACAGAGGCGGGTGCTGCCCGCGGCTCCCGCCGGCGTTTCATGGCTGTGTTATCCCCCGGCGCCCCGACAGGGATATGTACATGTCCGAAAAGGCTGGCTTTTGTTTCGAGTGGTTTTTACTGAGCCTCAGGGAAAAAAAAAAAAAAAAGGAGAAAACCCCCAAAAGCCACACAACCAAAACCTCAAACCCAACAGGTTTTTACTGAGCCTCAGGGGAAAAAAAAAAAAAAGGAGAAAAACCCCAAAAGCCACACAATCAAAACCTCAAACCCAACAGGAGTAAAGTGCACGCGCGACGCGAGTTTTCAGTAAAGAAAATTTCACGCGGCCGTAAAAGTTACGGATGGTTTGGATTTCTTGGTTCCCACTTCGATCGTCAGGAACCTCCATCAAAGCTAACCACGACCGCAGGTGCCGTTTTCTCGGAGGCTGCCGAGGGCCGCAGCAGAACCGATTTTGAGCAGAGCAGCCATGTGGCCGTGCCCGTGTGTGTTTGCTTTCTGATAAAGCAGCTTCCCCGGGCTGTTTCTGGCAGCGCTCACACCGAGGTGTGAGGATCAGCATACCTTTCAAGCGCTCCGAGGCGTGAATAACTCCCGCAGCAGGAGCCACCTCGCTTATCTAATCTCTTCCACATGCTACCGCGGGAAAGCGACACCGAGGATGTGTCCAGCTCAGCACTAACTGCGACGCCGCTTTGGGAAGTCGGCCGGCACAGATACAATAGCTATGAACAGAATAATTACTATTACTAAGAAAATTCTATTTATTGATTCATTAGCTTCAGCTTCCTTCCATCCACGGGCTCACATACATGTCAAACCTCTTCAGAGTATCTTTGCAATGCTCTCACACAGGGCCTTTGCTGTCACTTGTACAAGAAAGAGGAGAAACAGCATTGTTTTGTTGGTTTGTTTATTTGTTTTGGGATTTTTCCCTACAAAAACTGTTTGAAACTTTTTGGGAATCTCCTTTTTAAAATTTTTTTACATTTTTTTTTAAATTCATATTGATTCATTTGCTGTTTCCCTTGCTACTGGAAAAGCATACCAAATACATCACCTGCAAACTGGCTTGCCATTTTTTGACCAAGCATTTCTTACGTTGAAAACACTGGCTTGTCAAAACTGAAATGCCCTGTGCAGCAGCAGCAGTAAAGACTCCAACACACAGGGGTTGTAGCCCCTGCTGAGCTCTGCAGGGCTGGTGACCTGCCGGGTTCCAGAACACCTGCCTGGGTCAGGGATACCTGTCAGCTCTGCCAGATCAGATCCTACATGAAATGCCCAACAGCTCCTTGACTCTTTGCCTTGACCTTCAACTGAAGTAGAATTCCAGGGCTGACTGCTCCTGAGAGAGCCCATGTTTTCCTATGGCTTGCAGTAGGTCTATAAAAAAAGGCATAGAATAAATGGAGATAAACTTCCACAGCTTGTCCCTCTGGGGAATCCACAGCCCAGCTGGAGCCCAGCTCCAGTATGGAGCTCTGCATGAACTATTTTTTTTTTCCTTCTAAATGAATACCTATGTGTTTTCTCTAGTTCCTTGATAGGTTTTGCAGCCAGTACATTGCTATCACAGCTTTATTATTTTGAGGATCTGTGCCAGTACATATAAAGCTACATAAGATACAAACTCATCTTTGGATCATCTTCAGAAATGCCATAAAAAAAGGCTATAGAGTTGGGGATGATGCCCAGAGTGGCTACAACTTCAGGCTAATAATTCATGAAATGACATGAGGCATGATATTCTCAGACACTACACAGATCAAGAGCAACTCTTCTGAATTTGAGCTCTTTATATACCAATGCAAAAAATAATAGAATTTACCTTCAAACCTGAGCCTTATTATTTGTCTGGAAAATTATTTTTTCTGGGAAAAAATGCTTTTTGATAGTGCCAACAAGAATATTGATTCACACATTTGACTTTGGAAGTGTCTCTAACACAGAATGCAGCAGTGAGAAATGCTGCCACTGGTTTGACAAGCAGCATAAACACATGGATGCCATCCCTTATGATTGAAAAGCTGTGCATCAATTAAATGGAGTGACACATGTCAAAATGTATGTTCTGCTGATGTCTAGTATAGAGCTTATCAGCTAATGACACTATTTGTAGGTACTGTCTACAGGTGCATAGGTACCAGAATCACCCAGCAAACTTGCAGAACATCCAAACTCGAGCCAGTTTGTAAATACTCATAAAGCTGTACCTGTTGTATTCTTGCTTTCCTTCCCTGCATGGGTACTATGTAAGGAGAGGGACTCCCTACTTCATGAGTTTGAAAGATGGTTTAGAGCAACACTTTTGTTTTTCATGGCATTTTTCAGATTGGCTGTGTTTGCTGGCACAAAAGGAGCAGTTCAGATCAAAGAAGTGAGTAGGGGGCTCCTGCATCTACACTATTTGCAGTTTGGGGAGTGTTCTTCAGACCTGGCAATAATTAAAATTCATACAGAACTGGTTTGTGCAGCTACAGCCCTGGTCAGGCACTGGTGTCTGTCCAGACAAGAGCATATCCTGTTAGATTCCCCAAAAAAGCAATCTCTGCAAGTGCCAAAACTGAATGTGACAGGCAAGAAGGACTGGGGTAATCGCTGCAAAACAGCCCTGCTGCTCTGAACCAGCACACAAACCCAGACAGAACCCAAACCAGATTTACTTAGCCCCATCTTCCAGTAGATGCAGCGGCTCTGTCGCTCCCCGTGCAGCGGCAGGTGGGCTTTGCCCGTTTCGGACCCCTCTCACCGAGGCCAGCGGGACCCTTGCGGGAGCATCCTCATCCTCATCCTCATCCTCATCCTCATCCTCATCCTCATCCTCATCCTCATCCTCATCCTCATCTCCTCATCCTCTGCGGAGCCCCCGGGGGCGGAGGGCCCGCGGCGCTCCCGGGCCGGGCGGCAGAGGGCAGCAGGGCCCCGCGCTGGCCCTGTCCCCGTCCTGTCCCCGTCCTGTCGCTGTCCCCATCCCGTCCCCATCCCGCCGCTGCCGCTCGGGCTCGCTCCCTGCGGCGCTTCCCGGGACCGCGGAGTGACCCCGGAGGAGGCACCAAGGCATCCTGAAAGGCCACTGGCTTCGGCCGAACCTCAGCGGCACATTTCCTCCGCTTGGTTCTTTGTTGAGGCAGCCGAATGAAGTAAAATGTTCTTTCTCGTGCGGTTTTTTGAGAAGTCCGGACAACCTGTATTAAGCATTTTTGAATAACGTTTGGAGTTGGATGATGTTTTGTAATATGGATGACAAAATACATCCAAAGCAGTCATCCATAACACATCTGCTCAACATAATTTACTTTTCTTAAATTTCTAGTTTAACCATGCAGCAGTTTTGGAAAAAAAAATCCCTGCCAGGTACCTAAATCTAGACCCCACATTATTTTCCCACCTTTCACAATCTTTTACAATAGCAATGTTGAACAATTATTTGATCTTGCAGGCCTTACAGACATGCTTAACTTAACAATTTGAATTAATACTACATCCAGCAGCACTGCTTACAGTGCATACCTTTCCAGATACGCATTTTTCTCTAATCAAAACCCAAACCAGAACAAAATAAGTATTTTTTGTCTGGTTGTTTTCAATTATTTATTTTTTACAAGACTTTTCCTAGGCTAAAATTCCAAGCATTGCTGTCATTTTTAGTAAATGTTGATTACCAAAGAAGATTGATAGTTAAATAAATACTTATGCCAGATGAAAAACATGGGAGTAGTTTTGAGTTTTGCCATTAAAACTAATGGGATTTTTGCACGAACATTAGCTAAGAAAGAAAAAGAAACTAAGGAGAAACAAATCCTGCCAGAATGTATCTAACTTGCTATCAGGCAGCATTTGAAACTATCTAATTTTGCTCAATGCCTTGTATCCTTCACTGTTTTTCAGAACATTAGCAGATTTAAATCCCAAGGTGTTTTCAGTATTTTCAGAACTGCTAAGTTTCTTGTTAGAAATTCTTTTCAGTGTCCACTAGTCTTCAGACTCCTATTTCTAGGTTGGATTTCAAGAAATTAATTCCATACATTGTAAACAGATTCCTAATCAAAGTATAGATGAACTAATAATAGTTGAACTGGTAATAGTGCGTGTCAAGGGATTGACAAGTTTTGCCTAAAACAGCCATTACAAACAGTCTGCAATACTAAATGGATACACCCCAAACTTTTATTCCTTCCTTCCTTGAATGATTTTAGGTCATGCAAAATGGCACGCAGTGATGTGTGATGACTAATTTGCCTGTAACTGTACCTTAGATGACTGAAGCACTAGATGAAAGAGCAGAGAGCCTTGTCACTGAAGTAGTACTTCTCTCTGCTACGTCCTCCATCAAGAACTAGCAGCCTCCCTTAGATGTCTTGACTGTCAGCCCTTTACAAGTAACAATTTACCATCTAAATGGCATGGGGAAAGAAATGGGGAAACTCACAGCTGTCCAAAGGGAGAAGATGTAGAAACTGCTGAATAATGGCAATACTGAAGCAACCCCACCGTCCCAAACAAGATTTCAGGGTTTCATGAAAACAATAGAAAAGGGAAACAGTATAGTTCAAGGGACATACTTTACTGTTGTTAAATTACACCCAAG